ATGATATGTGTAAATGCAGGAAGTAACAGATCACAAAGATCTTTTTCATTGCCTGGACCTGACATTAATTAAATAATATGTCAAATGTTTTATTTTGATATTTACGTCGGTTGGGCTTTCATATTTACAGGTATACTTGGGCTTCAAATAATGTTATATATTTACAACATTTATATTTGACAACATATAAAATATACAACATAACAACATTTGAATATCTAAAAATGGACATCCATTCTGTAAAAGAAAAATAATAATCATTAAAAACTTTTAAAAAAAATGTAATTAAATCCTTTTTTAAAACTCACTTCAATATGAATGCGTAGAAAATGATGAAACGCTGTTACTGGCACAAAAGCGCTTGTATACGTACATGCTTGCACATTAGATACTCGTTATTATTTTGATACATATATATACATATAATTGTACGGCTTTGCTACAACATTATAACGTCATAGAAGGTGTTCATCTGAGAAAGACATTATTGTATTGTTAATTCTCTCAAGTGTCAAGATAAAACGAAATTCATATAAATGATTAAGTACCAATTAAACTCGCAAATTTGATAAGGGGTTCCATTGCGTACCAGCTGGAAACGACGTAGATAGGTACATGAAATATTCAAAATACTATTAAAAATTATCTTTTGGCATGGATTCCCCTGTCGAACGGACTGAATTGAACTGGGATATCTAAATAAAATTATTCAAAAATAACTTAAATACTAATTAAAGTAATACAGTCACAGAAATGTGAACATGGGCCTACTATTCAGTAAAATATCAAAACAAAATACATAAAATTTAACAACTTTTCAAATCAAATTATCAAGATCGGATTCTCATGGCTCGTTTTATAGATTTTTTATTGTATCAATCTTCTATGTTTAAAACGTTTCCCATTGTTCTGTCACAAATTGAGATACAGCACATCCAGAAAAACAGTCTTAAAATACCTTCAAAGGAAATGATCGAGTGCAAGATTCTTACCTGATGTCAACAGAGAAGACCTTAAGTATTGATAAGATGAAATAACAAAAATTGTTCCTGATGGTTCCAACCTTAAAATCCATTTCCTATCAAATCAAATTAAGTTATATTGGTGAAAAACTTGCTCCATCCCATTATAAAGATAAAGGAAGTAACACTGGGATTTGTCAAATGATGTGCTGTGCGCTTGGATACCTGGTGATAATCCTGGAGGCCTGTCTCAGCACTAAAGAGTCATTGACAAATATTTTCTTCAGCAGCTTTCATTCAGTTGGAATGAATATACTATTGAACTGTCCATACGAGTTAGTTGCAATCAGTAACAGAATTATATAATTAATTATACGGTAATAGAAAGGGAGGGGTCTAAGAACTATTGTGACGGGAAAATACAAAAAGAAATTTGACGTGTACATATATTGGAATATCAAACAGAAAATAACATTGGAAGCCAGTTGAGGGTCAGAGCTGACATTTACAACGTACAATGACATTTCAACCAGCACTTTGTGAAATGCATATGCGCTGAGCATTTCCGCTGAACTGAGATAAGCTGACGACGGTATTGACGAAATAGTTAACAGCATTATCATACATTTTCAAGAAGTACATAAAGGCGAGGCTTGGGCTGACACCCTTTCCGAATCCTCCAGCTTCACAATCGTCGGTATATCGCCATTCAGCTTCAGAAGCTAGGTCCTCGGGTAAGAGAAGTAGCTTAGTACTGGAAAACACGAGAAAAGAAATACTGGAAAAAGACAGAAACACGGAAACAAAAAACGTGGAAATGTGACTAACTTCATATGTCGAGTGACTGTATGACAATTTAATAGGTTGTGAAACAGAAAGTACCCCATACAAACGCGTCAAAGTTCATGTAAATTAACGATGCTTAAGGCATGACGCAACCAGTTTCTCAATAGATGTGTTTTCTGATTTTTTTCTCTAATTTTAGCCCGAATATCGCCAGAGGGTATTGGGATAGCACCCATACAGACGCATCAGAGTTCAAGTTTAAAGAAAGAGTGGTCCGACTTCATGCTACCGGAGAGAATATGACAAAATGCAGTGTCCCGCTGTGGGGGACAGTACATAATAAAAGTAGCAGTTTCTCTCAAACCATGATACAGATGATAGTGATGCTATATCTCTATCGCCGCCTGGATATGTTTATCGCCAGCTGGAAGAAAATGATTTTGGTGCTTCTGTTTATTTATAAATATGTTGAAGTTAAAGCCAAGCAAATGGTCTGTTTAAGAATGGACCTAGATACTCTCGTATCGTTCTGTTGCGAGTAGTAGACGTATGTGGGCCAGCATTGTTTCAATGCGGACTGGTATCTTTCTAGACTTTTTCAGACTTATCACAGATTAATAACAAAATACCTTAAACACATACTGTGTGAAACATATAGTCATCCACTCAGATAATATGATGTTTAAGTTTGATAAAAGTGTTTGACTTGAGCAAGGCTAGTATTTTAAGGGGGCGGGGCCATCGATGTAACCATCAATAGCTAGATACACGGCTCAATGACAAGTCGCCTGGGGAAGCTCTTATATCATTCAGGGTTTGATCAACCGAACAGCGATACGGAAAACCAACAAATGTATGAGATGGACATAGATTTATCCTCGAGGTGAAAGAGTTGGAATTTAAACTAACGAACACATACTCTGTATCAAAGTTTCTTTAGCTTATAATATGTCCAAACGTGAATACTTTTATTATTGAAATTAACAATGAAATTGCATGTGTCGGGATTTAAGTGTAAGGGATACATCATGTTATTTTATATATGTTTTTGTGTTCTATGCAGAATGTTGAACTATATTATACACTATGTATTACACATATTACATGTAAGTTAATAAAACTATGTGATAATCAGTTTCTGTATTCTGTTTTGTACAATGCTATGTACTCTGTTGTATTATGTTATGCAGTAGTATGTTTTTTTTGTTATGTACAGAGTGTTGTGATATGCTATTTACTATGACATATGTAACGTTTTTTAAATTTGTTTTGTACTATATTATGTACTATTAGGTACAATCTTACAATTGTATACTTTGTTGTACTATATCATTAATATGATTTACAATCCTACACTTGTATACTTTATTGTACTATATTATGTACTATGATGTACAATCCTACACTTGTATACTTTGTTGTACTATATTATGTACTATGGTGTACAATACTACACGTGTATACGTTGTTGTACTATATAAATACTATGATATAGAATGCTACAAGTGTATACTTTGTTGTACTATATTATGTACTATTATGTACAATCCTACACGTGAACACGTTGTTGGTCTATGGTATGTTCTACGATAAACTTTGTTACACACTTTTTACATGTTATGTGTATTCTTTATCATACATGAACGGTATGTTATATAATATTGGCTATACTACATCGTACATGATAAGTATAAGAATTTATACAGTTTAGATAGAGACCGTGACCTTTTCGATACGTGACCTTTGTTAATCTAGCTCCAATAAGGTTTTTTATGAAAGAGAAAATGAAATTATTGTAGAACCTCTATCTTCAAGTATGATAAATAGTTATCCGATTTGTGTGACTTCTTTCTACTTTATTTGTCATTACATTTTCCGATTCAGTCCGCGTACTTATTTCCAATTAATATACAAAAATCACATCGCTTCATTTACAGCGTTAAGGTTCAACATTTAAATATATTGAACTTGTACATGAGCTATTAAAAAGGTACATAACCAGGTTAACGAAGTCAGAATACGGCATTAAGGCTGATGTAATGATAAAAGTTACTCGCCAGATTTATAACATGTCAATCTCTTAAGCGACCCATCTGAATGTTACGAAATGACATGTTATTTGAAGATCATTTATATACCTAGGTCATGCGGGGCTTTACTTATCTTTAACTATGTGTGGAGAGGTATACCAGCCTCATAAGAAGATGATTGTTACTATCATAGTAAAACATCCGCGTAACCGGTAAATATGTGTACAACTAAAGACCTTTTTACCATAAACAAGACGTGAACTTCATATAAAATGTCCTTTCTTAACATTCAATATTTTTATAAAAGAGCTAAACTTGTTATAAGCATAATTGTACTTATCAGCTTCAATGTTTATAACATGTCTAGCGCATTCATATAATCACATAATATCATCAAGTGGCACATCATCGAAAGTTCATTTATCGATCAAGGTAACTTAGTCTTTGTTATCTTATTTATAAATTGCAAAATGTATTACCAGGGGATTTTACTATGATTTTAGTGGTTTCGCATGGCAACATCTATCTTTATTTGAGGTCGGATCTCCTCTCACAGCTAGTAGAAAAGAAATAAGGCTCCGCATGACCTATGTATGTAAATAAACTTTAAATTGTGGGTCATTTCTAAGCACTCAGTTGGATCGCAAAATAGATTGACATGTTATAAGTCCAGTGAGCTATTTTTATGAAGACATCAGCCTTAATGCCTTATTTTTGACTACGTTAACCTGGCTATGTATTGTTTGTATTGCCAATGTACAAGTTCAATATATACAAATAACATATATAAGTGTATACAGTCAAACTGACGGAAGATATTAATCAACCGTTTGATCAACATGATGTTGCACCAACAACTCTACCGTGAAATGGATGGCCATAGTTTTTATAAACTAGGGCAGCTGTGGCAGAAATGTTATACACTATGAAACAGTATCCCTACTCTGCTTAAGGCGTAATGATAACAACTGACAGCAGTGCTGTGTTGATATTCTTATTTACGTTTGAGGTCCTCATCCCCCTTTTCTCCGAGGTTAATTATATCATTACATATATCGAGGTTAGGATTGATTTTAACCACAGTTATCTCTTCTTGACTTTTAAACGTCCACTCCCAACTAAGAACATCGTGGTGACATGGTTATTCAATATATGCTATGTGGTTATCGTTCAATAATGGATATTATCATCGGCAATGAAAATAAAGTAAAAGTCGCTCATATCATGTTTAATTTAAAATACATTTCGTCAAATGCCATAACAATTGTGGAAAATATTTCTATTAACAAACAATATTAGATTCTTACTTTGTAGCACCAATGATTTTAAAGGATATGTTGCCTTTAGCCATACCTTTGCTCTAGGAAAACTGTTCCTGTCACTGTAGTGAACCCTACTATCAGAAAGACTACTTTCACTAATCTAATGTCACAAGAATTGAATTCATGAGGAAGCACTTCAAAGAAAGTTATATAAAGAAATGTTCCACAGGCAATCCCTTGGAGAATGCCCTGCACAAGGCTGGATACTTTGGAATCCCAAAGATCTATGATACCAATACCAATCCCAATTCCAACAGGAGCAGATAATCCAAATATAGCTAAAGACCTTATTATTGCAGTCCTTGAAAGTTTACTCTGAACCAAGTTCATGCCCAAACTGAAGCTAAGAATTCCTTTATGCAGCAGAAGAGCTATGAATATACTCAGAACTGATTCTGTATTTGTTTGAAGACCAACTGCTAGTCCTTCAAACAGAGAGTGGAGGGATATTGCAAGTAGCAACAGCAGTGAACGGAGCGTTGAATGTTGATGTACGAAGTCATTCTGAACGTTATTATCGTGGAGGTGTTCCTTGTCCTCATCCTGGGGTATTGAATGAAGTATAGGTTTATCACTTATACCAGAGATTAAATGTTCGCTAAAGATGGACCTGTTAATTCCCTTTTCTTCGACACGGTTGCCAACGATTTCATGATCATCATTCATAAGTGGTGTCTTGCTACTGTCAGTATTGTTATTATTTGTCTGAGAGTGTTCTGATTTTCTTTCCTTAACAGTGAGAACAATTTGCTCGATTGTCAGTATTGAAAAGAGTCCAAAAACCAATGCAAACTCAGCAACAGGAAAGTTCGTTTTCACTTGAAGAGCAACCAGTGCCGTTTCTAGATCCCTCCTAACATCTGGGAGAAGTCCAAGCAGACATGTCGCCAAGAAGACACCAGCTGCGAAACAACTCAGGATACTTAAGGTCCTTCTGTAATAGGTCTGTTGATGGAAGCTTATACCACGTGCACTTTGTTTTTGCATGCACCTGATGATGAGTAACGGAAGCACCCCTAGAACCACAGTGAATAAAAACAGTCCGAATATCACTAGGACCTTCACGACCCGGACATCCACCATCTTGCCAACCGCTTCAGTCAATACACATTACTGAAATTTCAGTACAGGTAAGATTAAGTAAAATAGGACGTTTGTCCTCGGGCGTTAGACCACTATCTACATCTGTCACCATTTCAAAACAATCGAACAATGACATCAGGATATAATCGATGATAGTATACAAATGAAGACAGATTGTAAACAGCTACCTTCTAGTTAAATATGTAAACAGTAATCCAGCTAGATATATGTAATCAGTAAATAAACTAGACACATATTATCAGTAAACTAGCTAAACTATGTTACCAGTTAACTAACTTTAGATATTCTTATCAGTAAATGAGCTATCTTTCTTGGCCCTTTATATACGTCTTGCAGTCTTTGGCCTTTCTTGATTTCTTGAAGACCGTTCCTTTAACCCAGCTATGTCTCATTCCCTGTTTGTAACTCTGACAGCTTTCCTGAGGCGAAATCACCGTACTTTTCAGAATTGTTTTTAGCNGGGGGGTTCCATCGGGCACAAAGCTTTAAGCACATGGTCAGAAAATGTGAAATGTACTACTGTCTTGTGAAATGCCAACCATATGAGCTATTTCAGAAACAGTACAGCAACCATCATCCTGAAATATTGCTTTCACAGCAGCAATGATCTTCGTTAATGCTGCAACAACTTTGATGTCAACTTTACCATTCTTAAATGTTTTCACCAACCTGAAAGCAGTTCTCATTGTGACGGCAGAGGTAACTTTTACGCTGTACAACTCTACATGTATCTGTTTAAGCGGTATCTGTAAAGCACACCATGCTTTAATAAAGGAGCTTATTTCATATTTAGTTTCAACCTTCATTTTAGCATTGTAAGTAGCCAATAGTCAAGAATGTATATAATTTAACAATGAATAACTTGTACAATGTTTGTCGGATTATGTCGGAAATTTGCACGTGCATTGTTCTTTAAAAGCTTTTAGCAGCTGCCAGGGCGCTAAACTATTTTATTGACCTTCGTCATGACTTTCATAAATATGCATCTGCTATACATTGCCAAACAGCATACAGCTAAATGTGTTTTTTTTATATCTAGTTAAATTGAAGTATGAATTGTTTTTAACCTTTAACATGTCATCAAATGAGCTGAAAAGAAATTATAAAATATGTGTAGTATATTAGTTATCATAGTGTCATCGTAAGGAATTTGTGTTGTCTTCAAGTTGATGGGTGTTATTCCTACCTACATGTAGGGTGTGTCTAACGATGCAGTATGTAGAAATATTTTTATTACATGTTTGCCAGTGATATATCGGATTCTATCAACTTGGTAAAAGTGATATTTTCACACTGTGACAAATATCAAAAGTGATATTTTCACAGTGTGAAAATATCACTTTTTGGTATTGACCAATTATAATGGTATCTTCTATTCGCTGCATTCTAAGGCAACGATTTTGTGTTCAGATTCAAATGAAGCGACGGTAGAATATGTTGTTATGGTAAATATGTGGTACACACACATAAGTATTTACATAAACAATCATACCAGAAAATAGCAGAAACATCGGAATTGCGTTTAATTATGTGAAAATGTGTGTACGTGCTGTTTAGTGAACATAAAGTAACCTTTTGAAAACTTTCCATCGAATTTCTAACCCGATTTGACTGATCGGAGGACTGTCTGCTGCAAACCTTAGTTACGTAGCTAAACTTGAAATCGGGGGTGGAGCAAGAGGTGGTTTATACTACAGGGACCTGAGATTTGTTACAGCTATATTTGGACATCTCATGGCCTTGTGGTTTATACAAAACGTACGCATGTCTTCGGTGTATGACCTGGAGTTTCATGTCTATTTGAATAAGCTAACAATACGGTATTTTTAGAAACAACTGTGGAGGTACAGTCACGTTTGAACTTACAGAAAATTATTTTTACGCTGTAGATTTTCAAGACCTGTCAAATGTATACACGGAACTCCGCCAAAGGGACGTATTAAAACTTGGTGGCCAAGTTTGGTTTACAATATCCGACTATCTCCTCACCAGCGGAATATATTAAGTGGGGAATATACTAGTAATTTATTATCAATAAGTTTAAAAAGACGTACAACAAATGTGATGTTGATGACGAATTTCATTTTTAATTCTGAAAATCCCTCTTTATTCTATGAGCGTTCTCAGTCATTATAGTGGATGTTATTTACCTATACATGTACATCACTCGGTATATGATAATTATCATATTACATATCTTGTGTTTTAAAGCCGTAAGGCTGATGGAATAAACAACTGGATTTTAAAATATAATTAAAATTGCATCCTCTCAAAGTTAGCGTTCCTCTCCGATACTCTCATATAAGGAATAGGGATGTCAAACTAAGAGATGATTTTAGCGTGTTTTAATGTTAGCTAACCGGGAACGTTCGTTTATGTTATTGTAGTGTTTATACAAATAACTATCTTTATCTTCCGGTTAGCATTACGTCGCTAGAAAAATGTTCATGCCACGTAAGTCCTTATAAAAGTGTCCGTAGAATTTTTGAACACTAACATATATGTACCAGTAAAATTAAATGATATGAAATAGATTGTCAACTCCATGGATTTGTTTTCAAAGACTTTTCTACACGTCCGTAACTTTAAAAAGAATACAGTACATGCATGGTTTCTATACGAAAAGGTCAAGAGAATGAATTATTTATTAATGAACTTATGATGTTTTCTGTGTCCACGGGTACAGAAAATGCACAGTTACAAATTAAAGGTGAACAGCGTTCGATCACTCAAGCTCGTCTGATACAGTCTCATCTTACCGAAAATCCCCAAACTACAGAACGGACCCAGGAAATTTTGAAAGGGAAGAGGCCATGTTTCATTTTTGGATTTTATGTCTGTGCACGTTTACGTCCCTCGTGCTAATAGGTCGAAGGCTCGTGATGAACACCAACGGCCTCAATTACATCTCGTCCAATTAAATATCATTTGGTACATTTTCAATGCAAATAAAAAAGCAAAATTGGTCCGAAATATTTTTGAATTGTTTACCGTGATATCAATTATTAAAAAATGTTGAAATTTAATATCCTTTCCAGAAACATAACTGTGTTTGTTTTTAGCGGACTTTGCGCGTGTATACTGTTACCTAAAACTTGTACTTTGAATATATATAGATACACCTGTTTTTGGTATATTGTCCTTCCTCATATTTTTTGTTGGAAAGTTCCTGAAAAAAAAATCAAAATTTTACAAAACTTCACACAATTATCCCTGTCATTGATATCTCGTGACCTGTTAAAAGGTCAAAGCCACTAATCATGATATGGCTAGTCGGCAGGAGGAATGATACTTTCAAGGTAAATGTCACGGCTGAAAAATCCTAATTTGTTGTGCACATAGTAATACATATTGGCAAATGGCAGGTGAGGTTTGGTTTCCAATTCGACTACTGCATATTTACTTACCAATATGAGGGCTGCCAAATTCCGATTGGTTTCTTAGGTTTCCGTGTAATAACTTCTCCAAAAATGGTTCAGTTTTAACCTTTGGTCTGCTCCTACATATTGGCAGTGTCATGTTGCTAAATTGAAGAATTTGTATTTACTCATAATTGATGAGGCTACCCATTTCGAATTGGTTCATTTATTTCTGTGCAATAACATGAAACAAATAGGTTACTTTCAACTTAATTTGGTATGCATAAAATTAATTTCCAGATCTTTAAATTACTGTTATGTTATGGATAAGGCTAAATTTTCAGTATTCAGTAGAATGCTGGAGAGTTTCATGGCGAGTCTTCTTAGGATTATCCGTCCTTTTGAACAGTGTGTACATAATATAACACTAATTAACATGTCCTGCAAGCTTTGGATATCTATTCAACAAATTTGATTGGTTATTATTGAATTTTAACACCATATTGACATATCTTATATATATTTAACTAAATCATATATTACTATATCTTTTTTCCATGGCATTTGCTACAAATGCTTCAAGTACAACGTATACAAGAGGTATCAGTGGTACTAAAATGATTTTTAAAATGTATTCATTAAGATTAACTGATTCAGAACTATGTGTTATTTTTATGAAGTCCAATTGATTTCTTTCCACAATTTGACACTGGAATTTGACATTTCAACGATGAGGCTAAATTAAAAACTAAATGGAGTACAAGAGCTTTATTTCAACTGCACTATTCCCATTTTTGCACATGCAATCTAATTCTCAAAATAAGATGATCATGATTACATGAACATGAGTACTAGGCTAGATGATAATGATTTAGATAAGAACATGATAATCAGCAATGAAAACAAGTTTAGTAAATATTGTTCATTAATTTTATTTGAATAATATTTATTATAGAATAACATAACATTATTTTGATAACATGATAAATGGTATATATATATATATGCTGTTATTTACAAACAATATTAGATTCTTAATTTTTTGCACCAATGGCATAACAAATATGTGTTACCCTGAGCCAAACCTTTGTTCTAGGAAAACTGTTCCAGTCACTGTACTAAACCCTACTATCAGAAAGACTACTTTCACTAATCTAATGTCACAAGAATTGAATTCATGAGGAAGCACTTCAAAGAAAGTTATATAAAGAAATGTTCCACAGGCAATCCCTTGGAGAATGCCCTGCACAAGGCTGGATACTTTAGAATCCCACAGATCTATGATACCAATACCAATCCCAATTCCAACAGGAGCAGATAATCCAAATATTGCTAAAGACCTTACTATTGCAGTCCTTGAAAGTTTACTCTGAACCAAGTTCATGCCCAAACTGAAGCTAAGAATTCCTTTATGCAGCAGAAGAGCTATGAATATACTCAGAACTGACTCTGTATTTTTTTGAAGACCAACTGCTAGTCCTTCAAACAATGAATGGAGAGATATTGCAAGTAGCAACAGCAGTGAACGGAGCGTGGAATGTTGATGTACAAAGTCATCGTGGACGTGACTATCGAGACTATTTTCTCTGTCGAAGTTACGAGATGCATAGATAGGTTCATCACTTATACCTGATATTGAATGTTCACTTGAGACGGACTGGTTAAATCCCCTTTGGTCTACAGCGTTGCCTATGGTTTCATGATCTTCCTTCAGAAGAGGTGTCTTGCTATTGTCAGTATTGTGATTATTTGTTTGGCAGTTTCCTGGTTTTCTTTCCTTAGCAGTGAGAACAATTTGTTCGATTGTCAGTACTGCAAAGAGTCCAAACACCATTGTTAACTCGGCAACAGGAAAGTCCGTTTTCACTTGAAGAGCAACCAGTGCTTTTTCTAGATCCCTCCTAACATCTGGGAGAAGTCCAAGCAGACATGTCGCCAAGAAGACACCAGCTGCGAAACAACTCAGGACACTTAACGTCCGTCGGTAACAGATTTGTTTGTGAAAACTTATACCACGTGCACTTTGTTTTTGCATGCACCTGATGATGAGTAACGGAAGCACCCCTAGAACCACAGTGAATAAAAACAGTCCGAATATCACCAGGACTTTCACGACCTGGACATCCACCATCTTGTCAGCCGAGTCAGTATATACACATTATACAACTTTCAATACAGGTCAGATCAAGTTATATATAACGCCATGTGTCATGGGTTATTATATATAACGTTCATACATCTTTTGTCATCGGAAATTTTTTTTAGTGACAGTGACATCCGGAAGTAATTTTGAAAGGATAAAAGTAAAGACAAAACCGGTAATTGTTTTCATTCCGAAGTTTCCGGATTAATTTGTGAAGCATATTCGCCAGGTATTGCCAAAAAAACTTGTATACAGTTCAGTTGTTTATATTTTAAAAAAACCGGGTTGTTTTCAAATGTCTAATGTCGTAAAATTATAATAAAAATGTTTATTTCCAGAACAATAGTTTACAGTACTCTAGCAATACTCTAACCTTACTGTTTCTAATTTTACAATAATGAAACATGGCGCGAGGAGTCAACATGCTAATGTAAACATTCCAACGTGAGTAGCAGTGCCAGAGTTTTGAGTGCAGTTACATTTCTTAGTCGTTGTGGATTGGCATGTATCTCGTTGCCACTTTTAAAATATATACAAATTAAAATCATTCCTTGTACTGATAGCTTCGATACTAACAGTGACTCGATTCATGCCCTTCTCAGGCTTCTGACAGTTGGACCACAGGGGTTCGTTAATAATTACTTGTAAATATCTGAAATACTGACTTTGGTCAAAGCACATCTAATCACAGGAGACTATATCAGTATAGCATATATGTATTTCACACATTTTTAACGAACCCCTGTGGTTGGATCAAAGGAGTCTGAATATCTGTTCAAAATTAATAATAACCGTGATGTAATTATTTCCGAGCCTGTTGTACTTAAGGCTATAAAGGAGACAAATCCAAACAAAACACAGGGACCTGATAACATCCATCCACAACTTATAGCTAGTACAGCAAACTCCATAAAAAAACCCTGACAATATTATACAACAAACCATTTAATGAAGGAAAGTTACGTAACAATGGAAATCAGCAATCGTAAGACCAATATTTTAAAAAGGATCAAATATACCCCCAATCAGTCTTACTAACAGTTACAAAGGCTAACAGAATCCTGGATACTATCTTCCGTACTTTCACATATATGGACGCAGTTATGTTTACTCTATTGTACAAATCACTCGTCAGACCACATTTAGAGGATGGAACACCTATATGGTCCCAAATCTTTGTCAAGGACAGAATCTCCATCGAAAATGTGCAAAGAGGGACTACAAAACGGATCAAAAATATATATCAAATCTACCATATGATGAAAAGTTGCGAAAACTGGGACTGCCTACGCTCGAATATAGAAGGGAAAGAGCCGACCTAGTCGAAATATATAAGATCCTAGATAACATCAACCATATGTGGGGACCAGGGGGCATCCAAAAAAGCTGTTCAAGAAACCGTTTCGCGTTGAAGTAAAAAAAAATGTCTTCAACAATAGAACAATAACAACATGGAACAGCCTACCGGAAGTGATTGCTACAGCAATGAACCTAAATAGCTAGGTCTAGGTTTTGTGTGAGCAACATGACCTACATGTATATACCGCCACAACTCATCAATGTGTAAATAATGGACTTTTATCATTTTATGCGCAATCGGTTGGACATTTGAAATAAGTAATGAAATGCAATCAAGACATCTCCAAAAGCTAAAAAAACTTACAACGATGTAGATAACAGCGAAAGATACAGCGAAAGATAAGCAATCCAGTGTAATATACAGTACATTTCACCTAATATCACGTCTGTTAATGTCACTTTTCGGTTATTATCATGTTTTTTTGATGCACCGTTTTTCCTGCTATATAATCTATGCAATTCAATTCTTTTATTATCACCTGATTTTATGTTGATTTCTCTTAATATCACTTTATTTTGGCCACTGCCACAAAAAAAATACAGGTAAATGGTGGTAATGATTCATGATAAATGCCCTGGGGACCTTCTTTCACACCCTGGACGCATTATGTAAACAATGCCTTGACCTAACAGGGTATTTTTTACACCTGGCTGACTGTCAAACAATAGGTTACACCTGGCTGACTGTTAAACAATAGGTTGACTTACATACTTGTTAACATGATATTCACCTGTGGTTGGGGAGCTAGGGCAGTCTAACATCTGTAAACTTTTCTAATGCCAAGTGTGATGTATTCTTTCAACTAATTATAACATGTGTACTATCTTCGATTACACACTTGCAGCAAATATCTAAGGAAATTAACCCATAAAAAGATGTCACTAGAGAAAGAACAGTATAAATATCAAGATATAGGTAAATATTTACCAAGTCTCATGTTTACAATTGAATTTGATGCAGAATACCAGCCAAACACTTGTATGTCTACATCACTACTGCAGTAAACAATCATAATTATACAAACGTACTGATCGTCATTTTGCTACTTAACAATATGAAATGTAACTGCGTACTGAAATGAAATACAAATAATAAATTTATTTCTATACTTATATCTATATTTCAACTAGGGTATAGAACAAGGTTAGTTACAAAATATCAATCTTCTTCGTAGAGCCACATCACTTAGGCATTTGACTAAGTTCACTTCCGGTTTTGAGGGTTAAAAAACATCAGAAAATATGTATTCTGTTTATGTCATGTTTCGGTTAATATCATGCTTTTCTCTGACAAATGGGAAGTGATATTAAGAGGAATCTACTGTAATTAAAAATAGCACAGGTGTCTAAAATTCTGTCAACAAGACTTAAACATTTTGTGTATAACATCTGTATGTATATATATATACATCTGTCATCTTTGCAGCATTTACATTTAGTATTTTTTCCATCAATTGTATTGATTTGAACTGCATGCATGTGTTTTAAAAGAAAACAGTAACTAATATAATGTAGACATACATAGTTATTGTAGTAATATGAAAATTTAAAACAGTTATCTACATGTAAGTTTTAGAAAACATGTGCTTACATTGATTTTGGCCAACTGTCTGATCTGTAAATTATTAATTATTTTATATATAAATCACAGGCTTACACCTGGTAACAAGACACCCCCCCAACCTGGCAACCCCAACAGGACCCACACACACACTTTTTTACCTTTTTTTTGCACAGGCTCCTTAGGCTTATATTTATATCACTAACAAAATATATGGTAATACTTGTGATAAGCGTATACTTTTTCAATAGTGTTATTCATAAAAAACAGAGTACCCAGCACTGTCTAAAAGCATATCAAGATGGGAGTTTTGGAAAGTTCAATGATGAATTGATTATGACGGAATTTCTTTTTTAACAGATGATTTCTTTCCTAAGTATCTTTTTAACAGTAGACTTATATTCCATCATAGACAAGGTGTTCAATTATAATTCACATTTTGATGTTGTAGCCATGACCATGAAGAGTTCAATGGCTGGTCGACTGACCATGTCCTCCTTGTTGGCCCCAAGTCTGGACAGCAGTCTGGCCAGTAGTGTTTCTTCACAGAACAGGAGCAGTGCAAGCCTCACTAAGGCCGAAAAGGAGATCAAGGTAGTCTTCAAGCGTCACAGAGGGGGGGGGGGGGAAATATTGTAAACCTATATGAGAAATTACATATACAAGCATTAAAGATATCCAAAATGTTCCATCATACATGATACAGATGTCAATCTTTTAGTGGCATTAATATTGTGTATTATTTATTGAGGCAACATTTACTTAGTCTTAGAATGACATTATTATAGATATAAAGAATTAAAATGTATGCTGCATTATTTTGAAAAAATGCTTTGGATAGATGCTATATATGGTTAGACAATAAAAGAACTATGTACCATGTAGTTGAAATATATATCTATATAAACATGTATTATATACAGCCCAGAGAAAAATACTAGACTTATTTTGTGGGTTTTTTTCCTGGTTGTGATGAACTAGTAGCTACCGGTAGATGTATAACAGTATTTATACAGGTATACATTTCACTACATTAATATCAATTACAATGTGTGTTGTAATTTATTTGGGTATGCATATTGTATAAGTCTGTTGTAAACAATTACATGTACCTTGAATTATGTGGGTTTTGTAATTTGTAGGATTATGTTAATTTATGCTTTTGATAATTTTAGAATTACATATCCATGTTACATGCACTTTCATATAATGTATACTGTATAACATGAAATGTTCATGGGTTATTTCTATCATGCTTTGCAGTCATTAAGATTGTTTCATGTTACAAACTTTCGTGGATACCCCACCCCATATAAACAAACAGTGGTCAAGTATATCAATTCAATTTAGTTATTTTCGAAGTTCAATATAAAACCACCAATGTTTATTCCATCTTTTTGTATTGCAGAGTTATCTGCTCTTGTGAGCAGGTATTGATTGTTACGTCATTGGTTTGTGTGAGAAAATTACGTCGTTTTCTCAAAAATTGATGTCGTTAACTTACTCTCACAAACAAATGATATAACAATCAATACCTGCTCACAAGAGCAGATAACTCTGCAATACGAAAAGACGGAATACACAGCAAACATTTTGTGTTATACAATACCTGGAAGTTTTTGCAACAGTTTCACTTTTGCCTTTTACACCCTGTGCAACGTGGGCAAATTTACCATGACAGCGAATATTATTACACAATATAACATATAAAGTCATTACATGTGAAGGGAAAAATTAACACTTGGCGAATGTTTGACAAGGCGATAATTTTCTGGTGTACAGTTTATTAATCTTTGCTCTTGATTATTGATCATTCATTTGCATATACATATGTGTATTTAATTTGCAGTCACTAAAAGCAGAAAATAACAAACTCAGAAAAGATTTGGAGGATGTAAGGTATGTAAGATAATTATACATATATATATATATACTAAGACCCATTTCTTAGAGACTGGATCTCTTAAGTTCTTTTTATTTACAAATAACATTTCTTGAATAGAATAACCATTTACAGTAAAACACTTATATAATTACATGTCTTAAGTCTCTTTTCGAAAACATAACTGTCTCTACAGTTTTAGGCTACCAATGGTATCTGAAAGCTGTTGGTCGTTTTAATAAAATTTGAGTCACCATAGCCACTTTCAATATTCAAATTGATGTTTGTCTTTTACCTTAAGTTTGTTCGACGTCTTTATTTTGCATTTGTTTTTGTCAACCATTTGTTGGCCCTAATGACCTATCCTGTCTTGATGGACCGTTAAGCATTTAATAATAATAATAATTGAATAGAATATTGATTTTTTTCCCCAGTAAAACATGTATCGCTTTGTTTATTGTATTAATGTACAATTATTATAAGTACAACTAACCAGAAGACTTAAAGTCTGAATGTTACTTTCATGTTTATTATGTTGCTTGCAGATCTCTGTATAACCAGTTAGTGTCTGAAAATTCTCACGAGAAATTTGACGAAAGAAGAATCACACTATTGAAGTCCCAGATCATACAACTAGAAAGACAGGTATATAAGACCCCATGTTAAAAGCTATTTACCGGTATTGTTGTGACCATGATCAATAATAGTTGAAAATTAGTTTGTTTTATACCATGGCTGATATCAATTTATATTTTATTCCATGACTGCTGTATGTTTTATCATTTTGAGTTCCTTAGCCAGTTTTTGATTATTTCAAAGAATGAGATAATATAATGCAGGTAGTGTGATATAAAATATTTGGAGAAGTATCACTTGCATTATGACATCATATCTTACAGTAAATTTTGTTCCAATCTAAGAACCTAATTCTCATAAAAAGGCTATATTTCCTTTCATATATATAAACCACTAATTGCTGCTGATTTTCCGTTAACAGTAGTCAGTTCTGATTTTCCACTAATTTTTTGAAAAGCAGTCAGTAAGTCATTGTTATAAGGTTTATATGAATACAGAAATAACACAACTTGTTTACTGTGTTATAAGGTATTGATGATGTCAGAGGCCCTTAGTTCACGGAGCGGTGCCCTCATGGAGGTGGAGAATGCCCTCACCTGGCTTGCAGACAAATGCCGGTATGTAACACATTTGATAATTCATTTATCTTGTCTGCATAATAATGTCTGAAAAGCTGATTTTTTTTATATAAAACCTTATAGATACAAATGTCATGTATCACAATTGTGTATTATCTTTATAATTGGTCCATACCCACAAGGTCAAGGTCACAAGCATGGGTCAAATATGTATTAAAATTGAACCGGTACAAAAACATTCTCCCTGTGTTTTTACTTATACCCACCAAGTCAACTGCATTTTTGCAGGCTAGGTCAACTTTACATTAAGTCTGTTGTAGCAATAAATTTTACAGTATCATTGTATGTTGCTATTTAGGTACGTTAGATAATTACTGATGTGTCCTTGTCTCCACAGACACTACATAACCCTGGATGTCAAAGGAGCATCGGTCAGTGTTCCCAGTTCAGACTTCACACAGATGGTCCATACAGCTGAGTCAAGCAGAATCAAATTATTCAAGAACATTGAGGTATAATTGATGGTATAAAGGAACGATTTCTGTATAGATAAAACAATTTTAACATTCTTGTCAGTAAATATTTACCCAACCTGTTCCCAGGACAAAGTGAGGAGGGGGCTTATTTGCGAGAGGGGGCTTATTTGCGCTCAAATACGGTATATTTAAATATTTGGATACTTTGAATATATTGCTTTGCAGATATTAATATTTCAATATCAATGTTTTATCTACAGAACAGCTCCACACAGGCACAAGGCCAGGCTCTGATGTTTATGAATGCCTTTATCAAGCCGAACTCCTCCCAGGGTTGTACCCTGTTAGATGTAGCCTCAGGAAGACTTGACTACCTCAATCTCAAACATGTGGTAAGTTTGGCATAATGCAGACCTCAAATTGTAATGGCAGCAATGGTTTTGATGTTACTTCTGTTTTCCAGATACATGTATATGTAGATATTGTAGTAATCGGCAACAAAAATGATATATTTTTCAATGTAATATTTAACAAAAAATGTGAATAACGGGTTCAGATAGTGGTAATAAATAAACGTTAAAAAAATATATGTTTTTATGTTCTGATTGAAATAAAGCACCTTATACTGCATTTAAAACTTTGTACCATTTCTGTTGTCGGTAAAATATTGTACCATTTCTGTTGTCGGTAAAACACTGTACCATTTCTGTTGTTGGTAAAACATTGTACCATATCTGTTGTCGGTAAACTTTGTACCATTTCTGTTGTTGGTAAAACATTGTACCATTTCTGTTGTCGGTAAAACATTGTACCATTTCTGCATATATTTACCAGTCAAAGCTAGAGGGCAAGTTATCGTCACTATACAAGGACCTAACACAGCTTCACGAGATTATGGAGAATCCACAGGACGGATCAGTGATGACTTCGGGGTGTGTAGCGAGTGTGATCCGTGATAGGGCATCCACACAGCTCCTCAGGTCCTGTGCTCGCCTCAAGGACTGTTGTGGGGACCTGCTGTCCCTTTCACTTCTGTACCCCAGTGCACCATGGGTAATTATAATGATTTTTAGTAAGCTCACATAAATCTGTACTCTAGCTAGTGGGAAAGCGCACTTTAGTTTGGGCTCATTTATACATATAAATTAGAGATCAAAAGTAAAATACCCTCGTAAACCTATACCGTATTTTGATGGCCATAGCCGTAGGCAAGCAACATATTGTGGTCTAGTAAAAATTTGCTTTAACATGTATCTCACATTCTTGGTAGGCATCGTCCTTGTGCTTTAGAGAACCTGTGTCCTACAGTGAAACCTGGTGTACCCTAATTCAGTCTTTATATAAGGCACATCCTTTCTTGTGTTTTATTGTAAGCCAGGTTACACATGTATCTAAGTAATGCATCCTGGGTAAGTTTTGCTTACACTTTATCCTTACTTGATGATTTAGCATCCAAAATGTTATTTAACCAAATATTCTTCTTATAAGCTCTGTCAATTTGGACCCTGGTTCTCTAGATCTCTAGAATATAAATACTTTGTAACAAATTACACTTATAAATATCTATGGGCCAAATTCAGATACTCCATCTTTTTATGACAACATAGTAGAATCAATAGATACTTTTAAAAATGAATGTTTTATAATATGTGGAGATTTTAACTTAGTATTAAACCCTGAAATTGATTATGATAAAAGCTATAAAAATATCAATAACCCAAAAGCTAGAGAAAATATCTTACAAATAATTGAAGAGTTAGGAATGGTTGATGTTTATAGGGAACAGAATCCTGATAATAAAAGATATACATGGAGAAGAAGTAATCCAATTAAACAAGCCCGCCTAGATTTTTTTCTCATTTCTGAAAACTTACTACCTAGTGTAAATAAAACTGATATTGAGCCAGGATACAGATCTGACCATTCTATACCATTTATTATATTAAAATTTAATGAATTTAAGAAGGGGAAAGGACTATGGAAGTTTAACAATTCTTTATTGCATGATTTAGACTATCTTGAAATTGTAAACAAAATTATTTTAGACGTTAAAACCCAATATGCTCTTCCAGTGTATAATCCACACAATATATCCAATATTCTGGACTCTGAGATCCAATTCGTTATAGATGATCAGCTGTTTTTTGAAACGTTATTAATAGAAATTAGAGGGAAAACTATTTCATATGCTTCACATAAGAAAAAACAACAGAACCATTTAGAAAACAATTTAAAAGATATTATAAAACATTTAGAATCGGTTGAAAATATTGATTTTGATAAATTAAAGGAGAAAAAACAAGAATTAGAAAATATAAGATTACATAAACTAAGAGGTAGCATTATTAGATCTAAAGCTAAATGGGTTGAAGAGGGAGAAAAGCCAACTAACTACTTTTTTAATCTCGAAAACAGAAATTATACCTCAAAAATAATTCCAAAAATAGAAAAAGAAAATGGGGATATAATAACTAATCAAAATGAGATACTTAAAGAAGTTAAATTATTTTATGAGTCTTTATATACCAATGATGATAATATAGATGATGTTAATTTAGACAACTTTTTACATGACTTTCATGTTCCTAAACTGAATAATATAGAATCTGATAGTTTAGAGGGCATTATAACTCTTAAAGAAGCATCACATACATTAAA